CACTGACACTGATGGTACATCTAAATTCTTCCCATTCTTCTGTTCATGGCTATTCAGACCATCTCTTGATTTTTATTTATGAATAGGATGATCCTCAGATATGACTAACCAGACTTGATCTATTAAACTCTGTTATCTGAATACATTTTTAATTTATGATAATGATTATTTTGCTCAATGCTTTAAGAAATAAACAAAAACTAATTACTATGGGGGGGGGGGGCATGTTTTGTTCTCAAGTTGCAAGTTTACTTTCAAGATGTCCCTTTTGCAGGTCACTGTAGTCCCAATTCGAGGAATATGTTTCATAATTAGCTTGGGAAACAAGCTTTGTCTGGAAAAAAAACTTTTTCTCAAAGAGTAAGTTAAATAAAGTCCGGGAGTTCCAGTGCTAACCGGGGGCAAAGTTTAATTCCTATATTTATATTTATGTTTATTAGGTGGGATGGAAATGCCCAAACATATTTTTGGTCCGTTTTCAGAAAAAAGTTAAATATTTACAGTTTTTGGTGATTAAACTAGAATTAATTGAGAGAGGACAGAAAGAGAAACTAACCTAGAACGAATTGAGAGAATAGAAGAAGAAACTAAACCAGAATGGAATAAGTGGAAAAACTAAACTGGAACTTTTTAAATACTTTTTTATCGGCATTTAAATTTTGATTCAAATCAAGTACAAACAAATCCGTAAATTAAAAGATCGTTGCCTTTTAGACCAATACAAGTTTGCTTCAATATCAGTATCGCCTGGATACTGATATCTTTCCTCTAAACCTTGAAAATTGATTATTTTTTTCCACCTAATTTCAATAATGATAACAAAACAATTTATCTTAAGTAAAATAGTTTTTATTTTTTTTTAGAATAATTAAATTTATTTTAAAATAAATTTCTGACATGTACAGAACAAATATCAACACATAATAAAACAAATTTAATTAGTTTCGGTTTACAACACATTGTAATATAATTTTTAAAAAGAGAGTTTAGTAGTCTATTTTTAATTATTCTCAGAGATTTAATTCTTTTTAAATCAAGAGGCAGGTTAGGTTAGGTTAGTTGAGGCAGGTTATTCCAAATCTTAAGAAAAGAGCTTGATGGTAAATACTGAAAATACTGACTGAGAATGTCTAATTGATAGTTAAGATATCCGTCTTAGTTTTAAAGCCACTTTAAACCCCCCCCCCCTCATAAACTTTACCATAACCCTAAACGACATCAGGCTTCAATTATATTAGGCTAAGAAACCCCTCATGGAAAATTTCTAACTTTAGTTTTTTTTAGTGAATTATACCTTTAATCAAATCAAACTTTTTCAGCTTACATGTAATACTATTTCTGACAATTTTTATTTAGATGACTTAATTTTTCCACCAAAAGAAAAGCCTCCACTGCTTCTAGAGCTAAAACCATGGGTTAAACGTCCTTCGCCGACGTTTCCAAGTAATTTATGAAATTTTTTTTCTCATGGTTTCTTTACTACAGCTTAATGTTTAAGCCAAAAAAAAATCTGAAAAAAAAGCAAAAAGGGCGTTTTATATGCAGAAAACAAAATAGAGATATCAAGGATTAAATATTTAAGGGTTTAGAGTAAGGCAGATACACAGATATACTGATAGTCAGACAGATACACAGAAATATAAACAGACAGAGAAAGACTGATTGAGTGATTTGAAAGAGGAACTAAACTAAAACGGATTAAGAGAATAGAATGAGAAACTAAACTAGAACGGATTGAGTAAATCAAAAGAGAAACTAGACTAGACCGGATTGAGTAAATTGAAAGAGAAACTAAACTAGAATGGATTGAGTGAATTGAAAGAGAAACTAGACTAGAGCTGATTGAGTGAATTGAAAGAGAAACTAAACTAGAGCGAATTGAGAGGAAAGAAGGATAAACTAAACTAGAACTGATTGAGAGAATAGAATGAGAAACTAAACTAGAACGGATTGAGGGAATTGAAAGAGAAGCTAAACTAGAACAGATTGAGAGAATAGAAGGAGAAACTAAACTAGAACGGATTGAGACTATAGAAGGAGAAACTAAACTAGAACGGATTGAGAGAATAGAAGGAGAAACTAAACTAGAACGGATTGAGGGAATTGAAAGAGAAACTAAACTAGAACGGATTGAGAGGATAGAAGGAGAAAGAAACTAAACTAAAACGGATTGAGTGATTTGAAAGAGAGAACGGATTGAGAGAATAGAATGAGAACTAAAATAGAACGGATTGAGAGAATAGAAGGAGAAACTAAAATAGAACGGATTGAGAGAATAGAAGGAGAAACTAAAATAGAACGGATTGAGAGAATAGAAGGAGAAACTAAACTAGAACGGATTAAGAGAATAGAAGTAGAAACTGGACTAGAACAGATGGAGTGATTTGAAAGAGAAACTAGACTAGAACTGATTGATAGAATAAAAGGCGAAACCAGACTAGAATGGATTGAGAGAATAGAAGGAGAAACTAAACTAGAATGGTTTGAGAGAATAGAAGGAGAAACTAAACCAGAACGGATTGAGAGGATGAAAGGAGAAACTAAACTAGAACGGATTGAGAGAATAGAAGGAGAAACTAAACTAGAACGGATTGAGAGGATAAAAGAAGAAACCAGACTATAGAACAGATTGAGTACAGAAGGAAATACACACGTATCAGGCGTTGATAAATTTTTTTTTAAAATAGAGACACATAAAGAACTCATTAGACTTAACCATATTCTAACTTCACATCTTCTCTACCTAAAAAGACCTGGGGGTGGGGGCACGTCCTTGGGTTCCCCACTATTTGTTTTTAGCAATACAAATCTATATTTTTCATTTTCATTTTTCAACAATTGTCAAAAATTGCAAATTTCCATTTCTCCAGATATTTATTACATATCATTAAGTTATTTATCAACAAATATGGAAAAACAAGAATTGCATTAAATATGACAAATAACGCGTTTTTCTTGACCCAGCAAATTTAAATATTTGCAAAGAAAAACTGAAAATGTGCAAAGTTGAAAATGGGTTTAAACAGAGAAAAGAGAGTTTTAGGTCTGAGTTGGTAGTCTATGGGTTGAAATTATCTTAGACAATTATTTTTTCAGACATTGATTTTATTCATTACATGTCCTAATAACATGTATTTGACAGCTTGAGACAAAAATATGACTCTTATAGCTGCCATAGCTAGGTTGGAAAACATTTAACTTTTAAGGAACTGTCGCCGTAATTTTATGTGACCTTCCTTATTCTTTACTCGTAAAACCTTTCATATCTTTCCTCCAAACCTTATCGTTATTTTTTTCTCTAAACCCTTTCTCATCTTTACATTGAACCTTTCTTTGTCTAAGATCTTATTCTTTTGAACTAGATGTTTTGTTTGTTTCAAATCTTAAACGGTTTAATAGATTAAGATACTTATCAAGTTACTAAAGGATAAGTATCGGGTTAGAGTCAAGGATAACGAAAGGTTTAGAGTAAAAGATAAGGAAAGTTTTAGAGTTAAGGATGGGTATGCACAAATGACGCAATGTACTTCCTTTTAGGCTTTTCAAAGAGCAAAAAAATGTTAGAATCCAATGACTGGAGGTGGTTCTAAATATAAATTAAGGCATTCAGAATGTATGTCTGAAGAGTTGTGTTGTGTCTGAAAAAAACGTTAGGGGGAGCCCCCCACCCCATCGTAGAAATATGGTTAAAAATAAGAAATATAATAGTTAGACTTTAAATCATCAAGAAATATTTTTCATCCCCCACATAAACCTTTTCCAGACATTGATTCCATTCATTGCAGGGATGTCCTAATAAGATGCATTTGGCTTACTTCAGTAAAAAGATGACTCATACCTTTGGTTGGAAAGCATATAAGTTTAAAGGTTAAAAAGTCAAAATATGTATCTACCAATTATGTCTTTATTTCTATCATATGTTCCTGTAATACAAAATTGGTAATATCTGCTAAATATTGTCCAAACCCTGATAGAATTAGTAAAATGCTTGAATCAAATGTAAAAATATTATTATCAGGGATTAATACAAACAACTTGATTCAAATTGTAATGCACCTATATGTTCTTTCAATCCAGAAGTAACTGTAAAAATATTCAGAAGGGAGTAGAAAGGGGGGGGGGGAATTAATGTACAGGGTGTATCTGAAAAGTGTTCAGGCTTTTCTAAAAAGTGCTCTTATTTAGTTCAAACCGCTTAAACGGGGTTCGTCGATGAAACATATTATCTTCAGAAGTAATATTTACAATTGTGCGTAGTCTCTTTTCCAATTTTTTGCAATTACAAATTTATGATTTTTTTGCGTTTAAATCAACTGTATAATATAAATTGTGCATTTTCAACGTGGTAAAATATATGTAACAGTGTAACACCCCCCCCCCCCCAGGGAGATGACCATCTTTAACGGATCATGAACGTTCACATTAGACTGAAGGTTCGAGCATTGTAATACAAATTTTCATTTTTTAAGTTTAAGATGTAAAAGTATGAACGTTTTAATGTATAAAAACAGCCTTCCCCAAACCTGGTTGATTAAAAAGTAAATATTGAATCGTTTAAAAGTTCAGTTAATTAATAATTATTTAATAAGTAATTATAACAAGGGGTCTCTTGGACTGGAAAGATAGTACATGTTACCAGCTCTAAGGATGATGCAGAGAAACAACTTTGTGTTTTAACTAAGGTAACAATTTAGAGGTCTCTTAAAAATACGTATTTTCCATATGTATGACATACGTATTTTCGTAACCATTTTGTTGGTAGATGTATACATATTTTATAAACGTAAATATATGTATTATGTATATGCTTACAAATATAAATTATATGTACGTAAAATGCATATTTTTAGGGTTGTTTGTTTGAATGTTTAGAAATTTTTAGTTTTAGTGATAGCAAAGGTTAAGTGGTAGCGACTTTAAGAGATAACACGTCGAGCTGAACTTGTTCAGGAGGAATCTGATATCAAAGAGATAACGGAGGAGCTGTCCTCAGAGATAACTGAGCCGTTGGTTCCTGAAGCAGAGGACCGAACCAAGGCTTTCATTGATTTACAGCAGGTTAAGAAATATATTTAATTTAGGGGGGGGGGGCCGGTTGCACAAAACTTATTACTCTCGGGAAAATTTAAAGTGTTTAAACATAACGCAGAATTGCTGTATAACTGTAGGCTCAAATGTTTGTTTTGACCACTGAAATGAAGTCTTTTCACAATTTACCTGTAGCTTGATGTATTGCATGCTACTTTTGTTTTGAATAATGCCAATATTTTATAAAATGCGCACACGTGGGAATTTGAGTTTTTTTGCGCAAAGCTGTTCAAAGATTACATGTTTGAAAGCATATTAAAGCAAATTCAAGGTCATTTCATGATTTCATGAAGTCAAAATTGCCAAAGTGCGAAAAAAGAAATTTTTTCACCAATAAACGCATTTTTGATCGGATTTTTATAAAACTTTATTTTCTTCTTATAATTTGAGTTCACATGCAAGAAATCAATGTTCTACGACAATTCTAAGTTATGCCTAAACACACTGTTTAAATTTTCTGGAGAGACGTGTTTTGTGCCCCCCCCCCCCTTTTTTTAATCCTTTTTTATTCTCTTTTGCTACTTCCCCAAATTTTACTACTCAAGCCAACATGTATATTTGAAAGACTAAATGCTGTTGTAGTTAAATTGACTAAGGGATTCACTTTTTAAAGATAATTTGGCTGTATCTCACTATTGATTGAACACACTTGTCTATTATTTTCAAACAAATGAATGAAAAAATGTTCATTCGAACTAAAATTACAAATTTACCATTAGCAGATTTAACTTAATATGCACGAGATGGTAACTGTTCCTGGTACAAAGGACGTTTCTGATGAGTATCCTGTGAGTACTGTTAATGCCAGATCTAATGTGTTCTTTGATTTAAACCAGGTTAGTTTAAGATTTACTTAAATCTTTTATCTTCTTTTATTTATATATACTATGTCTACATGTTTGTAAAAAATCTGGGAAATTATTTTTTAGTTTGAATAATTAAACAAAGAATTTGATCACATTTAGAGCAACTAATAGCAGTGTTGAAATAGTTGAAGTAGAGCCTAGTAATAATAGATTTTTCTTAAAATTAAATTAACGAATGTATTTTTTCTTCTTTTTTTTATTCCACTCCCAAACTTGGGTACTGAAAAGAAATAATCTAAAATGTTTAAATTCTTTTGTAAAATAATCAAGGGATTAGGTTTTTGAAAACTATTTGGTGCCAAATATTCTTTCACTTGCTGTAGTATCAAAGCAGTGGCTAAACTTTGGCTTTATTTGTACTTCTTGAAATACTTTTATTAATTATTGACATTCTTAAATGAGTGGTTATTATTGAGCAAGTAAGTGCTTATTATTAAATACTGAAGTTAATTTTAATAAACTAAATAGAAAAATATTTCAGAGAGTAGAAACCTACGAGGAATATACTGCTAAGTTTTCTCTTAATGATGTATCTGGCAGTGCTAGTCCTTTAAAGAATTCTTATCTGTGTACTGGTCTCAAGGAATTATCTCATCCTTATGCTGCCAGGAATTCATCTCAGAATTCCTCTCTTGTTATAACAAGCAGTTCTGATCCTGGCAAAGAGAATAAGTGTCCTGCTTCTAATTATAAAAAGAAACTGGATAAAATTCCTGCTTCTTATACCAAAGTGAAACCAGATAAGTTGCTTGCCCCTGAAACCATGGACCAACCGGATAAGTTCCCTCCTCCTCATACCAAAGGGAAAGCAAAGAAGTTTCCTTCATCTAATAACAATACTGCTCCTGATATGCACGAGATGGTAACTGTTCCTGGTACAAAGGACGTTTCTGATGAGTATCCTGTGAGTACTGTTAATGCCAGATCTAATGTGTTCTTTGATTCAAACCAGGTTAGTTTAAGATTTACTTAAATCTTTTATCTTCTTTTATTTATATATACTTTGTCTACATGTTTGGGTTTTTGTTTGTTTGTATCCAATTTATGTCAAAATGGCTGAACAAATTGGGCCCGAATTTTTTGTGTGACCTCATATGACGCTTGGGTAGGCTTTGAAAAATGTCTGCCAAAGATTTTTTGTTTTCATAAAAGTTTAACAAATTTTAAAAATCCAGGAATTATTTTAGTTTTAATAATTTAAAAAAGAGAATATGATCACATACAGAGCAACTAATAGAAGTTGAAATAGTGAAATTAGAGCCTAGTAAAAATAACTTTACATTTTTTTAGATTATAGCAAATTTTACCGAGGATGAACGGGAAACTTTGTCTATAACCTCGGAAACTGAATCTCTAGACTTGATTCAAGATCAGGTAAACAAACAGAGTTCATTTTTTTAATTCAACATCGGGTTTGCAAATGGGAAAAATATGTTTTTAGAGAAACCACAATTGAAAATGAATAGTTTGTAACGCAATAGATGAGACATTTTTCTGATCCTTTATCAGACAAAAGCCTGTATTTCTTAAAAGAAAATATAAGAAAATAACAAAGTTTATCCTACTACTTAAAGATGTCTGTTAGGATCCAAATAATTTAACTTGAAGGGAGTGTTTGCAAAAATGAAAGAGGGTATAGGCTGACGTAGAATTGAATTCATGACAATCGCTACTATTTTACTTTTACATGTTGCGTCTATATAGAGAAATGCTTTGATTTTCCCAAGAGAAATCACTAGCGGCCAAATAATTGTCGTAAAAAGAACATTCTACAGGGTGTCCCACGAAACACGACACTAGCAAGACGACTTTGAGCCTTAAAATGACTTTTTTGTTTACAAGTTTAATTAATTATAGAGTTTGTAACCATTAAAAGACCGTACTTCTAGCATTTCCAAAATGTGGTCTGCTATTTTTTGATAATTTTTTGTTTGGTCTAATAAATTGAAATTTGAACAAATTCTTTATCTCTGGAAGCACAAAAATGGCAGACCACGTTTTGGAAATGGCAGATTCGGGTTATTTGGTGTTCATTAACTTATGAATTTTACTTTTCAAAATCAGTTTACGAAAAAATGCCGCAAGTAATTTTAAAGATACAAGACGACCTTCAAGTGTCTTTCTAGTTGTTATGTGTCGTGGGACACCCTGTATGTTAAAGAATATCCTTATTAATTAACTTTATATAAATGCATAGAATTGAATTCGATAATTATAGCTTGTAATTTTTAGATAACTAATTTAAAATTTAATCAATATTTTACAATCCGAGTGGAATAATTATCTTTAATTTGATCAGTTGATATTTTCTTGTTTGATCGTCCAAAAAAGTGATCAAAAGCAAATATACTTTAAAATTTGGCATTTTTTATGAAACATTTAGTAGTATAGGATAGTTTATGATAATGAGCTATGTTAGAATTTTTGTAAAAGACAAATTATCACTTCATTTAAAATTTTGTAATTTATGCTGAAAGTGTTTGGTAAAATATGTCTCAAGATATGAAATTTAGAATAAAAATGTTAAATGACACTTCTCTTATTTCAGGATTATCTTGAGAACCATGAAAGTATAGATGTAAACCAGGTAAAATTTAACTTGTTAAAACATGACTTTTTTGATGAAACTTGCTTACTTTTACTTACTTTCTAAAACCAATCAATTGAAATTCATGATGATTTTTATGTTTATATCGTAAGGAATCTGAATTTTATGCCTTCCATTTTTAGCTTTCTTTTTTCTTTCTCTCTCTCTCACCTTCTTCAAGTTATTTTTGTTCTACTTCTTTCTCTATTATCTTCTTCCTCCGTCTTTATTTTTTCCCCACTCTTCCTCCTTATTTCATCTTCCCCTTCTTCCTTTTTCATATTCTTCTTACTTTCTTCTCTTCCTTGCTCTTCTGATGGGAAATAAACATAGTTGTCTTAATTCAAATTGTACATAGCTGGTACATAGCTATTATCAAAATATACTAAGTGATATCTGTTTGTTATAACTCATCAGCAGTCATGTTTTCATATTTTTTTCCATGCTTTTTACCTGAAACTATTTATTTCTCCTAAAATTCAAAAAAATTTCGCAATTAAGCCAATAAAACCATAAAAATATATACCTTCTGAGGAAAAATATTTACTAAGGAGGGTGGGGTGGGGGGGTGAATGATTCAATTGAAATTATGCACTGCTAGTTCTTTAGCTCAGTTCAAAATGTTAAGTCAGAGTGGGTTTTGGGTTCTTCGTTTTGTTTGAAGGCTAGTATTAACCCAGGATTAAAAGAGGTTGAGTGCAGTGGGCCTCCATTGTGCTAAATGAGTAAATGGTCAAAGAAGATTTTTATTTGAACTTTTTTTGAAACTCGCATTTCTAGTTGATCGACGAATTTGATGTTGACGAATGGAAGAAAATTACATCAGATATCAGGAAGGTAAGAATTCTGGGTTTACAATATTGCCAAGAGTCCCCACAATCGATTATTTCGTTTTCATTATTATATGGAATTTCTTATCTTCTTTGTATTTATTTGCAGATTTTTCAAATTCTCCAAATGTCTTTTCAATTCTAGAAAATCTGCAGAAAATCTTTGAATAATAAGAAACCATAATAATGAGAATAATTGGAACAAGATTACTTATTTTCGATGATAAGATTAATTATTTTCGATGATAGGATTAATTTTTATTTCCTCAACATGTTCCTATACTTGACGTCTGTAAACCTTTTGTAAAACTTTTTAATAATTAAAAAACTGATTCTGAAAAGGTATCAACCCCCTTAGTAGGAGTTTTGAACATTGAATTTGCGCTCAAACTCAGGATTTACAGATCTTTAAAAAGTTTAATATGTCTCAAATGAATCCGAAAGAAGTTTTCCATTACACTGCATACTCAGTTCAACTACCTTACATAGCCAGTCATTCCCTTTAAAGTTAAATACCGCTTTCGCAGCTGAATGATGATTGATTGATGGATTAATTTGGAAAATGGAGTGTAGGAAGAAAGCATCATCAATGGAGGGCTACCGGAGACCTCTTCCCACCGGAGACCCCTACCGCCACCTTACCGGAGACCCCGGCATTTTCAACGGAGACCCAAAAGTTTTCGTCGGAGACCCCAAATAAAATAGTTAAAAATTTTGAAAATTTAAAATGCTCTTGATTGTATAAAATTTATTTTATCATTTACTTTCACATTTGGATATAGTTTTATGCATTTTATTGATAAACAGAGCAAAGATTACAATTGTTGATTTCTTTGTAAATGCATAAAATAATATCCAAATTTAAAGGTTATGATAAAATGAATTTATACTGGGTTTTATGTCATAAAAAGCAATTTACATTTTCAAAAATGAATTTATTATTTGGGATCTCCGCTGAAAACTTTGGGGTCTCCGTTGACAATGTCGGGGTCTCCGGTATGGTACCGGCTGGAGTCTCCGTTGGGACGGGTCTCCGGTACCACTGTGCTGCTTTCTTCCTACACTCGGAAAATGCTGGATTTTAAGATTTTATCCATGGGTTTAGATTTTAACTCGTTGATTTTGGCAAGTTAAATATTTAAACCCAGAGTTAAAATTCAGGTTTTAAATTAACTTAAAATTTAAGTCGGAACTTTTCATTCTTTAGTTTTAGACTCTAAAAGACAAAGTTTGTGAATTTTTTAAAGATTTGAGGATTTTTTTTCATAAATTTTATTACTTTCATAGATCAAGGAGTTTAAGTTTCATCATGAGTTTATATTTCAGGAGTTTGTCATGGCAATTTGTTCATGTATAAATTTTTCAGGATGCTGTTAAAAAGTACACTTACGACTGTCCTTACTGTAAAAAACCCTTCCAACAACTGAAACGGCACTTAAAAGCTAAGCATTCGGATGAAGTTGAAGTACAGGAAATGCTGAAAGGAACGAGTAAAGAGAAAAATTCTAAGTATAAGGCCATTATGTATAAAGAACAACTCAGAAAAAATATAGAAAAAGGAGTTCCTAAGGAGGGTATTAGATCTGACTGTAATGCAGATCAAATTGTAAGCTGTAAGGGATGCTGGAAGACGATGAAATCAAGTAGTTACACGCAGCATCTAAAAATATGTTTTTTTAAAGAAACTATTCAAAGCTCTAAAGCTCATACCTTTGCTCATATACAGAAGCTGAGCCCAACCCTCAGCACCCTATTCGGATGCATGTTGGATGATGAGATTGGTAAAGCTCTGAAAAAAGATCCCCTAATTATCAAGTATGCAGAAAAGAAAATCAAGGAAAAGGTAGATACTAGTGTGAGGTCCTGGCAAACAAAACTAAAGTCGTATTTGAGACTAATGGGTAGATTTCTCAACGAGGCCCAAAAAGAGGATCCAAAGTCAACAATGACCTTTCTTTTGTCTGGTACTCCAAAGTTTGATAGCTTGATACAGTATGCTGTCAGAGCAGCAGGTGGAAACGAGGAACAGATGAACACTGAGGCTGCCACAATACCTGGAAGAATTGGTAATCAGCTGAAAAACCTCTTAGATTTCCTAGAAGAATTAGCGCTTGATGAACCAAAGAGTTTAAATAGATCGGAAAAAATAAAAGACATCAAAGAACTTCGCAGGTTATTCGAGCTGAAGTGGAACAATGAGGTAACTGTAAAAGGAGCACAAATCTTGCAGCATAAAAATCGGACTAAGTCAAAGGCCCTTCCATCTCTAGAGGAAATTATGGAGCTATCGAGGTACCTCGTCAAGGAGCTAGCCACTGCTGTTAAGATTCAGAAAGAAAATCCTTCAAGGTATATCTCACATTTTCTCACAGCTTACTTTCTCATTTCTCTTTACCGTACATTTGTTTGTTTGCTAACCCTTTCACTACTTTTAATTTAGGTCTAACATCAGGAGGTTGATAGATGCAGCATTTGGTCGTATTAAGTGTTTCAATCGGCGGAGAGGTAATTTTTATTTACACAGGGTCTACAATTTACATATGACCCTATATAGGCTGGGGGGTCTAGATCCATGCATTGTCTACCTGAGGGTCCCCCCCCTTGAAAAAAATCTTTTACAAGAGTTTTAACAAATGTAGCCCAAATAGTCGGTTATTAAAAAAAATAATAGTTTGGGTACTATTTGTATTAGTATTATTTAACTTAATATTTTTTCTTCAGGCGGGGAACTTAGCGATCTAACAGTGCAAGACTACCTAGATGGGCTCCAAGTCAGGTAATTTATTTTTAGCAAGCTTTCATGTTTTAACCAAGGAGTATTGAATATTTGGTAGAAAGAATCGAACCGGCCCGCCCCACCATATGATTATGCATGCTTTGCGGACAGCACTCCATTTGAATAATAAATATTTCTCTGATGTACAAATACCTCGTACATATATTTAGAATAGGTTATTGCATTCAATGAACAGTGAAAAAAGTAGTCTGAATAACGCCTAACAAACACATTTTTTGTGATACAAAAATACTGGTAACATGCCCCCCTCCCTTTAGATCTAAACCCAGTCATTTATACTTACTGCCTGAGTTCTCTGGCACACAGTCTCAAAAATTATGTGTTCCTTCAACAAACCAAATCTTGGTTCTGACCCTTTCATAATTTTTAGCTTTTCGTAAAGCCTATGACATAAGGAAAAAAAATGCTTATTTTCATGAAATTACAACCCGTCATAGAAATTTGCATATTTTTAGTTTGAACAGAAATTTTTGCATATTTTAAATCAAGGACTTTTCAAAAATGTCTTTTTTATCCTTTTTTAATAAAAACTTTATTTTGCAAAAAAAAATATTTTTGCTAATTTCTTTTGCCGATTCTTTAAGTTGAGCAGAAAAACATTCCAATGATATATTATTTGTCATATTTGGACACTCAATATGAGATCTAAGGGGGGGGGGGGTAGGACTCAAATTTACCACCCTGCAGTGAATCCTAGTTTTCAAGTATCCCAGCAGGGATAGGGTTAAGTTGGAAACTACCTATCACTCCTCCCCCCATGTAAACGAAAATACTTAGAAGTCGCCAACTTCTCTGTAAACAACGAAGTTATTAAAAAAAAAATCTTAAATGTTTGTATTTATTTTATTTAGCATTAAGTCCGACGATGTGATGTTTGAAGCTCTATCAGAGAAACAAAAGAAGTATGCTTCATCTATGGCCTGCATTGTTGTTAATGGAAAGGGAAATCATGTAAGTTTTATTTACTAAATTGAAGGGAACGTAGATAAACTATAAACCCAGTTTTCAATTTAAACTTGAGTACAGTGATAAGGATCCTTTTCATTTTAATACGAATTTGGGTTCATGTCCTGGATTCACCATGAAAAAGTATATCTGAATCCAATATATGCTTCAATACTTATAATATTATGCCTTCTATATATATATTTTGCTTGTCTGTTTTTCTGTCCGTTTGTATCCAATAAACGTCAAAACGGCTGAACCGATCGGGTCCAAATCTTTTGTGGGACCTCGCGTCATTCCAGGGTTTTTCTTCAGGGGCCATTAGTTCCAAAAACTATTCACTGGGCCCATTTTAAATCAAAATTATAATAGGAGTTCTTTTATATTTATCTCTTGACCGTTTTCAAGGCAATTTTATGATTTCCATTTTTCGAACATATCCTGAATTTGACACATTGTTGCGTTTTCGAGACAAAACCCACTTCCCCATTTTTGAGTATAATCCACAATTCAAAACAAAACTCACTTTTATAACTTACAAAATAAATCACTGAAAACAAAAATTATCTTATGAAGATTGAATTAACTTCTAAAATATTTCTAGAATCTTAACTTTCCACTTTTTATCTGTTAAATTAGAGAATATTGAATGATTTATTTTCAAGCATTTTAAACAAACAGTTTCCCACATTTCTAGTTAAATCTATATTGTAAGAATAAATGTTCACAATCAAAAAAAAGCCTAGTAATATAAAATTGTAATTTTATTCTTGGTGGAAGCCTATACCCTTATACAAAAACTGCATCTTTTGAGCAAAATACTACAGCGCCTACTGAAGAGTATATTATTGTTTATAATTTCTTTGGCTTTAATTTGAAGTTATTTAGGGAAAAAGTAAGAAAAAAATCACTAGTGTTATTCTTTTACCTTGATAGTTTTGCTATCACTAATAGCAACATGAATTATAATATTATATTTGGATATTTATTTAACCTAAGATGACATTTTTTCTCTTAAGAAATTTTTTACCTTTTTCTCATGACTTTATGTTAGGACAACTTTGTGCTTCTTAAACCGGATATGCAAGAAGCACTACAAGTCATTTTGTCCAGCAAAGCCTCGTGTGGTGTATCAGACGGAAATCCATATCTATTTCCTATTCCAGGTTAAAAACCTTTATCATTTGTTCCATTTATAATTTCGTTATAAGTTATTTCAACTATTTTGTTTGACTCTATTTTTGAAATCCCTTTTTAGTCTTCTTCTGAAATTTAAAGTGCCCTTCCATTTAAAGAGGTGCTAAACCAATTCACAACGAAATACTTGTAGCCAAAATCTGGTTAGTAATGTGCAAGAGAAATTTGATGTTTCAGTTTTTTTTTTAATTCTGATAATTTCTTAATTGTTTCTGAAGCACGAAATATGCAAATCCCATTTGTATAGAAACCGGGCCCTAATTGAATTATCAGATTTTCAAAAACAAAAACGAGGATATTCAATTTATACATGCTTGAAAAAGTTTCTTGAAACTATATAGCCTTAAGATTAGGACATTGCACTCAATCCATGTAGGGTCACTTGAAATTAAAGTTTGTATTGAAATCACGGTTATGGTTTGAATTCACTTTGACTTGTATTTATTCTTTATAAATTAATGTTTTTCCCCAGTTCATCAAGGAGTTTGGAAATGCCAGAAATGAGTGGAAAATGCAAATCAAACCCAACTAAAACCAATAATTTGATATACACCCTGAAAATTACCCAAAAAATGAGGAAACAGGCCCAAAAAAGAGGAAACCTATCAACAAACTGAGAATTTGAAACTTTTTTTGAAAACCGGAAACGGACCCAAAAAAAGAGGAAACGGACCCCAAAAAAGTGGAAACCGATCAACAAACTGAGAATTTACAACTTTTTCTGAAAATCGGAAACGGACCCAAAAAAAGAGGAAACGGACCCAAAGAAAAGAGGAAACCGATCAACAAACTGAGAATTTACAACTTTTTCTGAAAATTGGAAACGGACCCAAAAAAAGAGGAAACGGACCCAAAAAAAGAGGAAACCGGTCAACAAACTGAGAACTTACAACTTTTTCTGAAAATCGGAAACGGACCCAAAAAAAGAGGAAACGGACCCAAAAAAAAGGGGAAACCGATCAACAAACTGAGAGTTTAAAACTTTTTCTGAAAACCGGAAACTGACCCAAAAAAAAGAGGAAACGGACCCAAAAAAACGGGAAACGAATCAAATGTAAATATAGCGGAAACCGACCCAAAATATTCGGAAATCCCTCTACACTTTTTAGTTTTTGAGGGATTTCCGATAATTCTTGAAAAAAGAAGGAAACGGACCCAAACTCACTTTTGGGTCCGTTTCCGTGTTGAGGCGTTTCCGTGTAGAGGCGTTTCCATAGCACCCCAAAATCATGTTTTCACCTCTCCTCCCTCTCCCCCCCTATGCGTGGTTTATTTCTGTACACCCCTAAACTCTAGCAGAAATCATAGCCTGAGATATAAAAGGTCAATAGAAAATCTGAATTTGTTGCAATGGCTCCGTTTCATGGACCCAGATAAAATTGAAAACCCTTAGAATGGTAGAAAGAAATTCCGGGTTTTGAGTAGGCAGTAAGTCATAATTATTCTATTAAGGTCTCCTGACGGCAATTAATGGCTCTAATACGATGACTAAACATTTTCAGGTAAGAAGCTTAAATTTATAAAACTACTACAAATATGACATTTTTATTTTTATTTGTTAATATTTGGGTTATCTGAGTGTGTGGCAATTTGTATTACATCAGAAAAGGGCTATAGCCGTTCTAAAATTAAAAAAATCCGTTAAAATTTAGACAAGTAAAAAATTTAATCATAGTGCTTAGAATCTTTTCATTATTTATGTATCCCATGTATCCTATGTTTGTTCTGTAAAGAAAAGATATCCAAATCAACCTCACAGTTTCTTAAATAGTATTGCTTATTTCTTTTATTAAATATTTTAATATTTATGTCAGGGTTCCTTCCAGGTTTTTTGTGGCAGGTCAGGATAAAAGCAAAAGTGGCAGAATTTACACAAAGCCCGCGAAAACTTCGAAGAAGTTTTCAGCGGCAGGGGGTTGCAAGGGGGCAAAGCTCATTCATAATTTTTGTGGCAGATTTCATGCATAAAGATTATGTTTGTGGCAGATTTAAAGCTCATTCATAATTTTTGTGGCAGATTTCATGCATTAAGGTTATGTTTTTTGCAGATTTAAAGCTCATTCATAATTTTTGTGGCAGATATCATGCATTAAGATTATGTTTTTTTGGCAGATTTAAAGCTCATTCATAATTTTTTGTGGCAGATTTTTTGCATTACGTTTATGTTTGTGGCAAATTTAAAGCTCCTTCATTATTTTTGTGGCAGATTTTTTTCATTACGTTTATGTTTGTGGCAGATTTAAAGCTCATTCATTATTTTTGTGGCAGATTT